CAATATTTTTTTTTTATGAGGAACACCAAGGATTTTTTTTGTTGAGCAGAAAAAGGGGGGGGGGCGGGAGAAGGGGAGAAGTTATTGGAGGGAGGGGGAAGGTAGCCTGCCCCTTTAAGGGTGGCCATTTTGAACTCTTGTTCTCTGTGGCACACCTCCGACTGCCTCGCAGCACACCGGTGTGCCGCAGAACACAATTTAAGAAACACTGAGCTAGATGGACCTTTGGTCTGATCCAGTATGGCCATTCTTATGTTCATTGCTGTGATATTGGAGGGCACATCTACATTGCAGTATAAGACCTGTGGCATGGCCACATCTGGGTCAGCAGACTTGGGCTGCTGGGTCAAAAACAGCACTGTTAATGGCTTGCTTGAGCTGGTGCCTGAGGTCCAAAACCCTGTGCCAGGAGTGGGGGATAGGAAGGTCTCAGAGCCCAGGCTCCTGCTAAACCTGGTTACCTATATGGCTGTTTTTAGCCCCATAAGCCAAGCCCTGTGAACCACAGTCAGCTGACCTGGGCTTTGAGACAATGCTGCAGATTTTCTACTGCATGGAGCTATCCCCTGAGACTCCTCCAGAGCCTTTTAAATTCATTTTATAGCTGATAGGCCAGATTTACTAGAACTGGAGCCATGAAATGTACATCCCACCAACCTGTGCTCTTATGGAATGTAGCCCAAGGAGGGCAAGAAGCGTTGTCACTTCTTGCCTTACTTGATTTCCCTGCCAGTGTGGGTGAAATAACTTTATTTTATGCTTGGCTGTTGGAAGCACTTTCCTCACTCACCTTCATCCCATACCTTCCTGGACAGTAGCACCCATGATTTTGGGTTGCCAGTCCTCTACAGCTCCCTGTAAAAGGGGAGGCTACAAGCAATATGACTGCACATCTATCATGCATTTGGTTCTCATCCTTACCCCAGAGGGAGACACTTGTGTTAGCAGGGTCTTATTTCGATAGGGCTTGGCAGATTCTTGTATCTGTTGCTCCATATTTGTATTGGCGAAGACATGGTCAAAGAAATGTGTCTTGCACGTGGAGCAGAAAATGATCAGAATTATGATGAAAAAAGTCTCAGGGGGCAGATGTTTTAGTCTGTAACTTTAAAAACAACGAGTAGTCCTCTGGCACCCTAGACACTAACAAAAATATACAGTATATAGTACCATGAGCTTTCGTGGGTAACATGAAATGGGTCTTACTCACAAAAGTTCATGACACGATATATTTTGTTACTCTCTAAGGTGCCACAGGACAACTTGTTACATTTATGATGGTCCTTAGACCATCGCACCAGAGAAGTGACGTTATTAGCCAGGTCTTCGGCACAGAACTATATACTGTCTTTTAGGTATCCAGAGCCCAAGTCATGGAGCACTTTGATATTAAGTCCAAAGCTTTGAACTTGATTGGCTGTTCTGTGGGAAGCCAGTTCAGGGAGCTCACTGTAGCTTGGGTGGCTGAGGAGATGTGCGGTAGCATTCGTACTGTAGGAGTTTCCTGAGTGTTGAAAGTTTTATATCTTAGTATATCATGTTGCTGTAGGCCAGCCAAGAGGTGAAAAAGGCAGGAATGACTGAGGTCAGGTCTTTTTCTATCTAGAGTCTCCTAGCCAACCAGAGATGGTTAAAAAGTCTTGTTCCTGGCCTTTGTGACATGAGAATCCAGTGTCAGCAGAGGAATCTAAGAATACTCCTAGACTGCTGACTGAATTGACCAATTGTGGATGTGAAACTTCAATCAAAAATGAGCGTGCGATGGTTGCAGACTCCTCAGAATACTTTCCTCTGCCCTCAGTTCTCTTAAACTGTTAAAGCAGTGCAACTATGTGTCCATACCTCACTGCTTAAAATTGGAATTATAGTGATATCCCCAAAGTAAACTGATATAAATCAGAGTTAACATGACACAAGAGGTCAATACCAGTTTGACTAAATCAGTTCTTGAAATGATTTAAAATGGGGTAACATCTGTGCACATAGGTTCTTAATGAAACTGCTCTAAGTTTGCGTGAAGCTAAGGCCTGCATTTGTTTAACAGATTTTCAAGAATTGCATTTATTTTTCTGTTTAAGAAAACAGACCCTAAGTCTGAAGTGTGCTGAAGATAAATTGATGGTTGAAATTTGAAGCCCTGAAAATATTTGTGTTTTTCAGCTAAAACCCCCAAAGAAAAGCAGGTCCAAATTTTTAAAATAGAGCATGTCTAAACGATTCCTCTTCCAAAGTTATAGAATTTTGTATTGATGAAATAATTTGAAAAGTCAGTTACCCCTTGAAGAGTCATTGAGCCAGATTTTGCAGACGAGATTCAGATAATAATGTATAAAACAGATTTTAGTCTTGCATTAAGTTGAAAGTCTTGGTTGCAAAGTTAACAAGGGAGTCATTTCTGAATCTTCCGTAGACCTGGCATATTGGAAGGGAAACTCTCCTGTTTTGCTCCTTTTG